GTGTGTTTCCACTTCCTCAAGTCGAATAGAAATGTCCAATGTGTGTAATTTCAACTTTGTGGGTTTTTTTCCCCCCCTCCTAGAACGAAGCTCCGGTTACCAACTTGAGAATCTCCTCCAAAAAAGTAAGCATTTTACTTTCTTCCTCTCAAATCTTTGTCCGTGAGGCGAGGAAGTGACAATTGCCCTCTTGTCCTATTTTTATTATAATTTTTTTTCCCCCCCCAGCAACAACTGTACGTGAGCTCGGAGCTGGGCGTGTCGCAGGTGTCGCTGCACCGCTGCCACGCCTACGGCGCTGCCTGCGCCGACTGCTGCCTTGCCAGGGATCCGTACTGCGCCTGGGACGGACACAGCTGCTCGCGCTTCTACCCCAGCGGAAAAAGGTGTGCCCAGAACCTGCTCCGTTAACTCCTCTCGATTTGAATTGCAACGTGACCATCTGACGACTAGAACAAGTACGCAACAGTATGCGGCGTTCTTAAGTGGTCAGTCAGCTGCAGTCGTATGTTGTTCCTCGCAAGATGAAGAATATGTTCCTACGAGTGTTATATCGTCTGTTTCCGCAATGTTGGAATATCCGTTGCTTCCACGGCAGATGCTATTCGTTAGCCCGCGTATGGCGTTTTGCATTTGTAATCTTGTGATCGTCCAAACGGGTTCATGTTGTTTATTGACCAATACCGCTCTGATAAATCATCCTAACTTTCATCTTTACAAAAGAAGCCTCATTGGCAGACTTCTCGATGCCACTCGCGTTGGTACGACTGAACAATGAGATAAATGAGGATAAAAATAAAGCGGCGGCCTGCGCGGGGACGCGAGCGGAACATTTGAAGGAGCACTTCACAGTGGGACCGCCTTTTAGTGCGCGCAGACATAACACAGACCAGAGGGCCCGAGTGACGCGTGAGGACCGCGCGGACGGCGGGTCCACCTGACGTTTGCTTTGCTTGCAGGAGGAGCAGGAGGCAAGATGTCATGCACGGAAATCCGCTCACGCAGTGCCGTGGATTCAATCTGAAAGGTGACTTTGCGCATTGGGACTTATACAGTAGAAGTCATTGCAAAAATCATTTGGTGTACTTTGAGATTAATGTATTTATTTTTTGGGGGTGTTAGCCTACCGGAACGCGGCAGAGATGACGCAGTACGGCGTGCGGAACAACACCACCTTCCTGGAGTGCCTGCCCAAGCCGCCTCAGGCGTCCATCCGCTGGCTCCTCCCCAGAGAC